GCGTTGATTATGGAAACTAGGGAGGCGCATTCGTCTTACAGTTATCAAGAAAGCGATCGATCGATAAATTCGAGAAAATCGACGACGTGTACGCGCGTTCGGCTAATTGTCGGGCTCGCGTGCCTCCGCTGTACCGTCCGAGAAACTTCAAGTTCTTCTTTCGTTACGTTATCACGCAACCGTTGCATAACGCGGCTCTAGAGGCGAACACCGCGAGCGGTAGGGCAACGATCAACCGGATCATTTGAAAAGCAAAAAGAAAGCAATTTCATAAGCCCAGGTCGACGCGGCCGGGCTAACGAAAGCGGGCTCGAGCCTCTGGGCAGGCTACCGTTCGCGTGTTTCCGCGAGTCCGTTGAGTTACTGCGCGAACGGTCCCTTATCGAATCCATTTCTTACGTGCGCCTTAATTGATACGCGGCAATCGCGAGCAATTCGTTTCGCGGTAAAGAACAGGACTTCGTCAATTGAGGGAAAAAATGGCGAGACAAATGTGTATCGGTGAATGTCTGCATGCCGGTGGTTTCGTAAATTATGTGGTTTCATAAGTAAATGTATGCTTTTCCACTGGAATTGTTTTATTCGGGTTTTTGTTCTTTGCTTTTTCTGTAGGAATTGATTGCGCTGATTTGGGGATGAGTGTGTATTAACTCCTTGCCGTACAATGGCGAGTGAAGCTCGTGATGAAGATTTCTAGATTAATTTAATAAAAATCAATGTTGTTCATTACGGATCAAAGCGAATTATTTTACTATTATCAATGTATTCTCTTCAAATGAAATTTCCACTTGAAGCAGAATGGAAAATTTCGTTGCATTTCTTCGAAATCGTCGATAGTAAAATATTACACGAGCTTAGTAGCGAAGGTAAATAGTACGTCAAGGGGTTAACCGCATTATATACCAGTTATAAAATAGTTTGTTGAAGATTAATGATTAATGACTAAAGATTTGTTAAATCTTTCAATGGCAATAGCAGTCCTGATAGAATAAAATCATCTTGGGTAACGTAATTTAACACGTTCGCTACCAGCGTTTGTTTCAGTGGCGATCCTCTCAATTGTAATGTTTCATTCAATACAATAAAACTTCTAAACAAACTATTGAAACAAATGAAACTAAAACGAGTCATTGAATCCCTAAATGTAATTTCGTAGGTTATAACTTCAACTGACTACATCTATAGGATTAATTTCATTTTCTTTATATAAAATATAGGATTGCGGCTGTTACAAATATGTGACATTGATAGCGAACGGGTTAATCGATTTTCTCTGAGACTGTTATTCGGTGAAAATTGTTAAGCTGTTTTTTTTATGTGAGATGGTTATTCAAGAGGCTATTAATAGTTGGCTGCTAGGTAGAGTACTAAATTGAATGCTTGTGTGTCGATTTTTTGAATTGGGACGAGTGTGTGCCGGTTATGCCGAAATTGTCGGCGAGAGATACTAACGAGGAGACTAGATGTAATTTCCACCTCATTTGGGAATAAGAATGAGAATACCTAATGGGGCATATGTGTTCTACATATGCACAGGTATTTCCAGGATCAATGAGACGAATGAAAATGTGGTAATTTAGAGTATCATGTAAAACAGTTACTCTGATATATAGAACGGAACGTGATGATCAAAATTATTATTTTTCATTTTAATTCTTGTCGTGTTTATTGCAATGATTGCCAATCATTAATTATTATCACATAGCTTTACAATGAAGATACATAATAGAAAGTATTTACATAAGGAATCTTATAGGGATAAGTGAAATCTAAATTTGCCACAACAAAAAGTATCTTTCAAATTTGTTTAAAAACTATAATCCATAAGAAGAGACTAAAAACAAAATATTAAATCAAATATAGCGACAATTTAGATATAAATAATGGAATATTAAATATCCAGTAGAAAATGTGATGAATTATTTCAAAACAAAATGGCGGCCGCTAAAGCATTAATAATACAAAAAACCGCAATGCCCCTGAAATAGTGCATTACAAAAGAAGAACGGGAAAAGCAATTTTCAAAATTTGAGGGAAAATCGTATAACCTAGCAGACAACGCAAAATGTATATTACATATTCTTTGTATCAGTCGAACAATAAATCCATGGTAGTCACTGATGCGGCAGCCTCACCCTTGGCTGGTAAAACTCGTTTCGCTATCATATCAGTTAGTGGGAAAAGGAAACATATCGCTTTCAATAAAATTCAACGAATAAATATGGTAGGTACCAGAAATAGTTAAAAATAGATTTCTTTAAATGGTCGTTCGAAATCTGAAATCTTCTCCTGTTAGTTTTACGTTGACACATCAACTAAGTTGCATGTGCATTTCCGGTGCCATTACGCATTCCTTACGAATGTACGGTGAACTCATCGGTACATTCAAGTTAGAGATAAATTAAACATTATTAAAAAAAACAACGGTTTTCGGTTAAAATAATAACAAAAAAATCAAGACATATTAATCACAAATTTAAAAAAACAACAATAGAAATATTCAATCCATCGTTGCTTCGTCGTATTTACAAACATAAAAAAAATAGTACCCTAACCGTGAGAAAAAGCCAAACCTTCTGCTTCAACGTACACAAAATACTTTCAATGGGTCGCTAAACTACCACACGCATGCCAATATATCGTTCGACAAGTCTATGGTAGGACAACATCGTACAACAGAGTCGCACTGTCATTAAACACGTTTGTGACGTATATTCGTACGAATGCCTGGGGCAGGTTATGATTATCGTTCGCAGGCCTGCATTAAACAAAGTAGTACGCACACGACTCATAGTAGTAGTACATGCCACAAAACCGTGTCGCCGGTGAGACTTGAAGAATTCGAAAAACAAAGGCAAAAGGGGACGATGGAGGCACAAAGTGACACATTCCAATCACGCGTAATACTCAGCCGCTCCTCTGTTACACGCATTCTTCTCGCGAATGACAGTTATGCAGAATACAAAAAGTGCGCGCATGCGCGGCCGACGGTTTTCGGCACACTCACTTTGATTACTTGTCAGTGGCACAATTCGTAAATACAGGGAGCTGCCTCGCCTAAAAATACGGCACGCCTGCATCAGGGAAGGGAGGAATATTTATTGTTACTTTTTCTTTATAAATATATAAGGAGCCTGTATAGAAATCATCTCGAAAGTATTATTGATCCGTGGAATAATGAAAGAAGATATATGTCGTGGTTGATAACCGTCGAACATGCTCCTTAACGGCTGTTTCCATCTCAGTCGCGCGTTACGAGCTTCTTCGAAACTGGTCCGCGCACATCGGTTAATCTATCTCGCATCTGCCGCACAAAATACACACGCATGTTCACAATGCCAGGTATCAGGAACCAGTTCCGACAAAGTAATCGATCTATTCCGCGCGAATACCGGGGGAACGGAATACGTTCGGTTCACGAGATTACCAGGTACCGCGAAAAAATTGGCAAACGGTTAACGACGCGCTTGCGTAAACCGGTGGGAAAAGTTTCGATGACTTAAAGTTGACCCATCCGACGGAATCGTGTTAATCGCGCAACACGGGCGTTCGCCAACGCAACTGCAACGTACCGAATTACGTGTTCGATGCTCCGCTCTCCGATTTTCAATGAATTTAGGAACCGTCGAACGTAACCTACGCCTATAAACAAACGTAATTCTGAGTAACGCACGATGGCAATGGTATACAAAGCTAAGAAAAAAAGTATCGCCTCGAATCGGAAACATCGTGCGGACGTAATCTAGCTCGCCGCACAGAGTTCGCTATTCTGACATGTAAACATGGCTGCATTCAAAATATTTCGCAGCGAAGGACGGTCGAAAAGAAAAAATACGGGATGGCCAGTATATACAGGCGAAAGGTCCGAGCCGCCCTGTACCGATTCAAATTTTCCAATTTGTATGACCGTCGAGAAGGGGGTACGTTCCCCAGGAAACAGGAAAGAGAAAAAGAGGGAAGAGAGGAAAGAAAAGGA